CCCGGGGCCCCGGCTGCCGCCGGTGCTCGCCGCCGCCGGGCGCCTCAGGGGAGAGACCTTGGAGCCTCATTGAGGGCCGCTGCGGGCGGGGCGGGGGGGAGCGGCAGTGTTGAGCATCATCGGGCAGGGCGCTGAGAATGGGGCCTATGAAATCATTAAAGTGAGGTGAATGCAGAACTGCTGTCATCGGATCCAACAGTACGTGAACCAGGGACACGTGGTGAGGCTGCTAGGAGACTCCTATAAAATACACAGACAGAAGGTGTTGTGTTGCATAACTGGTAGCGACTTGTGGAGGCAGCTAGGCTCAGAAAGCAGAACATAGGGAGGGGTGGAAAACTGATTCAACAAATTCACGGGTGAGGGATCTGTAAACAGATGCTGAACTGAATGGGCAGCAATTCTAACACTACAAATCTAATAAATTGCAGATGCTGGGAGAGTATGAGAGGGTTGTGTCGGAGACAGCGGCTGGACTCGTGTGCTGTCCTAGAGCAGCATCTGCTCTTGCTGCTGTTGGAGACAGAATACTGGGCAAGCGGGACTATTGATCTGACCCATTTCTTGATACGCTCTGAATGAAGTAGGAGTTATATTGGTTTCTGGCTGCCCATGAGGATTTATCCTTATCTATAAAGAGATGTTTGAACTGCTGGCACAAAGCAGTTTGGAATAGTAGGTGAATTTAATTTTAGTAGCATTGCAAGGGATATAGGGCTAATTAGTCGTTAAAAAGTCTGAATGTTCTGGAAGCAAAGAATGACAAAAAAAGTTACATTAATTACTAAGGAGATTTTATGCTGCATTAAAATAGAAGAAAGTTGATCAATGATGTTCCTCAGTGACATTTCTAAAAGTAATAAGTAGTTATTTACAGAAAAGATCAAGCATAATCTGGATGAAGTCCATAAGAGCACTAACAATTCTGTATGATAGGATTCTATTAAAACTTGTGTAAGTATGTGCTTTCCTGAGAAGGAAAACAGTTTTTTCTTTATAAGGGGGTGTTTTTACCTTATTTGGGGAAAGATGGAGAAATCTTAAGTGGAGATAATACAACTCAATGACACTTTTAATATTAACAATGTAGTTCTTTATTTGTCCATAAAATTCTGGCTTCTTTCATTTGTGTGTATTTTATGTGACCCCTCCTGCTTTCAGTCTTTCTGGAAGAGAATTTTTACTGGTCAGGGTTTCACTGGTGTCACGTACAGTCTGCAGTGAGGTAGGTGAGGAGTTGCTACTGAGATTACTAAGAAAGATGACTTACTGAGGGGGATTTATGCTATGTCTAATGGAATATTATAAGAGAGTAACTTTATATAATAGTCTGCAATATATGATTTTAATTTTAGTGTCTTATTCTGTCATCTTCTGTTAATGTTTTTGTTATTTACTGCGCAATTATTTTAACTATGACAGCATTAATTTTGTTTGAATATGCTTGTGTTGTTTTGAACACTGGAATCTTTTTCAGAGATCATGAAAACACAGCTTCAGGCTTGCTGCAGGATCACTATCTTGATTCATCTTGGAGAACTGATAACAGTCTCGTAAGTATTTTTTAAACGAATGGTACTTCTAGCAAGGTTATCAGAACTTCTGTTTTCTCCATTCTCTTCCTTCCATTTACATGCTCTTAGGTTTTTAACCAGTGCTTTTTGTTTACTTTTAGAAACTATTATATATTCCTGATACTCAAGTAACACTGTGACAGAATTCAAATATTAAAACTTATTTCTGTTGTTTGCAGCCATGGACATTGGACAGCAGCATTAGTGAAGAAAACAGGGCTGTCATTGAGAAAATGTTGCTGGAAGAAGAGTATCCTTTTGCTGATTTGCTTGTATGTTTTCCTGTGTAGCAATAGAAGACTTCCTGTTTTCAAAGGAACTGGACAAATCTTTTCTTGTTAAGATGACAGTGCTTCAGTCACCTTGTAGGTAGATTGCAGAAATCAAGGAGGACCCCTGAATTAATCATCTAGCTACCTGCAGCTTCCTCTGATGCTTCTGATTCTTCAGAAAATTACTCCAAAGCTTGTTGGACTTAAGCTGGCACTGGCGCCAAAAATAGCAATATTCGTCCCCACTTCAGCTGCTTCTTCAGTGCCACCTCCAGCATTGTGCTGATGCAGCCATTTGTGTGGCTTCATAGTGAACCTGATCAAACAGCTGATCTGGCTAAAAATAGCTAGTTCTTTTTGCTGAATTGTTCTTCACTTGGAGCGGTTTACTGTCTGATTTTGTCTGGCTACGTTCATGCTTCTGCCAGCATGCAGGATGAAAATGGGAAGGAACAGCTGCTACTTTTTTTCTCCTTCCCTTTTTTTTTTTTTTTTTAAGTAGTGTTGGCTTAAATAGTCTTAACAGTAGTAGCATTTCTGGCATAAGTTGACCCCACAAACTAGGTAGGTTATAGCAATAGTAATCACGGGCTAATTTATTTTCATGTTCTTTTTGTAATTTAGTGTAGTAATATACAGTAATAGAGGAACAAGAAAATAAAGCAATTGAAATTTTTCTAATAGAATGAATTATTGAGGCTTAATTTGAAAATAGATAAGGTATCAGTGCAGTGAAAATTACTTTAGTATGTTTTATAAGTCAAAAAAGAAAAATGCTCTTTTAGAAACAGGGTACCTAGTTTGCTGCAAGTAAAGTGAGCATGGGACTTGAGAAGTCAAATGTCACTTCCTTATGCATTGAACTAGTAGGAGTGTGTAAAATTGTGTATTTCAGTTTTGAAAGCAG